TCATAATATACATAATACCTACAATACCTATACTTGTATTTACTTGTAATATAATACATACGTTTATAATACTGATATGAACGTTTGCATTCACACTTTAGTTATAAAACTTTAATTTAACTTGATAACTTTAACATAAATAACAATAACTAAAAAAAGATAATAGTTATTATATAGATTATAACCATATGCTTATTTATTATAATTGAGTTATAGTAAGTTAAACACGATAAAATGTTAAGTTCCAAGTAATAGGTCTTATATGATATGTATCTTATGTATATCTTGTATTTTGCAGCATGTTCAAGAATATTTCTGCATGGTGCACTCTGACTGTTGACAATATTTGCATACTGATATGAATAGTGACTTCAACATCCAGAATGTATTTTTGATAAATATTAGTAATAACAGTTTAGTAAATAAAATTATAATAATAATGGTAATAACTTTTTATTATTAGATTTAGTGAGAGACTTATGTATAATAGAACTGCATTAATTTTTGGGGACAAATATAATGATTTGAGTAAATGTTGCCGTTGTTTATTACTTCGATTAGAGTAATATAAGAAAATATTATTTTTATCTAAAAATTATTCGGCAAAAACTTTTTTTTTTTTTTTTAGATTTCCTAAGTATTAAATATTATAAAAAAACATGTTTGAAAAAAAATGTATCATAAAATAAAAAAATAAGTATTTGAGTTTAAAAAAACACATTTATTATTATAATGTATATACACCACATTAACTGTTTTGTCTATAAAGTAGCGGTTGCAGCTGATATTTCAGTTTCAGCTGAAATATCAGAGAATAATACTCCATAAATATTTTATATAAAATATAATTTTATATATTAATTTATTCAATGAAAATCTAAAATAGTGACAAAATTTAAACATACATGTAAAAAATTAAAAAAAAAATTTGTTGCCAAAAATTTAAATAAAATTCGTTGCCAAAATTTTAAATAAAATTTGTTGCCAAAAGTTGTTGCTATTTATAAATGTTGCCGTCAGAGCCTAGGCCTAGGACTCACAATATAAGGGGACCCAAATCGGGTTTTTAGAAATTTGTCTAAAAAGTGGTGCCCAAAAATCTAATTTGATTTTTGTTTATCTTAAGGGGACCAACTATCTTTTGTTCAAAAAGAGTACACTTTGCAAGTATTTCCTAGGTAAAAAAAAAAAAGGAGAAAAAACTATAACAACTTTATTTTCTTTTAAAAACATATTTTTCTTCAGAGTGGATTTTTTATGCTAAATGAGGATGTTTGTCTAATAATGTAGCTGTATCCGAACATATTAAATTGCATATTAAATTTGAATGTTAAGACGGAAGATAATGTTTTTACAGAAAGTTACAACTTCTTACTGCTTCAATTATCATTCCTTAGTGAAAATACCCTTTCAACTGCAGCATTAGTAGACAACATAAAAAAGTTTCTGTTAAAGCTTTCAAATTTTAATGTGGGATATGTTCTATTTTAAAGTGCCGCAATATTTCTACTCATCTTTTGTCATGTTCTATTTTCTCATTGTTCCATTCCTTCAATTTTTCTTCATTTAAATAAAAATTTACTCTTCCAATTTCTTTAAAGAAAAAATTGTCGTTAATAACAATATCTTTTACTTCCTTTATTACAAAATCGACTGCTGAAGAAACTTCTTTCCATTCAATTTTACTCTTTATAAGGGTCCATTTGAAACATATTAATGCTCTAAAGTTCATTATCCATTCTTCGATATATTCATAGCAAATTTTATAAAAATTTTTAACTTCTTTTAAAATTCATTTTTTATTCCGGGGTTGGAATCTTCCAAAGTGGTCAATTTATAGGCTTTAATATAGCCTTTAATATTGTATGTATTAGTGTATGTATATTTTTTTATTTAAATTTGCCTTTAATTTGTTTTTTTATATTTTTTTTCAAAAATTGTTTTCTGTTACTCTATCCTTCTGAACTTATGTAATTCAGTTTTTGTTTTCTCTTACATATTTTCTCACTCATCTTATCTCATCCGTTCATTCTCTCTTTTTTTTTCATTTTTCTTAGGGTTACTCCTTTATACTTTTGTGCTAATTCAACTTTTTAAATATTATCGTTCTATATACTTCTTTTTTTATTACTAATATTAATGTAGTTTACTTTCTTTATTATTTTTTTGTTTTTTTATTTTTATATTTTATTTGTTTATTTTATTAAGGTGTTGCTCGATTGATTACTTTTTAATATTAGTGACACCAAACATAATTTTGTAAATTGTAATTAAATTTGTAATTTTTGATTTTATGGTTAATTAACCATAAGCGCATGCGTAGTATGTACAGTAAGGTTTTTTTTATCCTTTTATTTAATTAAATAAATGGATAAAAAAAACTTTGCTGTACATACTACGCTCGCGTAAAGACAGTCAAGCATGTCTTACATACTGCACATCAAAGATCAGCCTGGGGATTACATAAATATATTGGAGAGATAGATATGTCCGTTTCTATTCACAAATGTAATTTTAACGTTGTTAGAAAAAGAGGTCTGTACCCAGCAGGCGCAATGACGTTGAAATAACGTTGAAACAACGTCGTAAACCGACCATATGCAACGTTGAAACAACGTTGAAATTTGGTTGAATTGGAAATAAAATCCGATGTCGAAAACTACGACGTTGAAACAACGTCGATGATTACGTCGTTTTAACGTTGATCAAACGTCTTATCGACCATATTTCAACTTTGAATAGGTGATATACTCGATTGATACGTAGTTGATAAGACGTTAGAACAACGTTGAAACAACGTAAATTCAACGTTGATTTTTGTTTTTTATTTTGGTTAAATCTAATTAACTAAAAAATCTCAACTTTAATTGCAATAAAATAACACAATAAAAAAGCAATAAATTGCGCAGAGGATATTATATTTCACGTAAATTAATCAGATACAACTAAATTACTTAAACGGACTTTATATACAATGCAAATAAAACAAAATATTTGAAAAAAAAAGTTTTATTTATCAGTAATATATTTATCAATTTATCAATAATAACTATTACCAATAAATCCAGAACAACTAGGAAAGTATGAATGTTATACATCGGGTGAATCACCTTTTACGCGCCGACCACCACCATTTGATCTGTCAAGTGCGTATTTTAATAAAGTCATTATTCCTTTTCTAATTTCGGCAACTGTAGCAGTCACTTTAATTGACCAAACTCTCTCTATAAAAAAGGTATTGCCTGAGTAATTTGCATCAAATACATCAAAAAGTTAAAAATAAAATAGCATTAAAAAAACGAACTGTGATTTTTAAAAAATATATAATTTTACACTTAACTTACAAGTAAATATCTAATGTTTGTTCCTTTAAACTTCTCTTTACCTTTACCGCCAGCCATATTAGTTTTTGATTATAAACCATTGGTCAACAACCTGCATTATACATTGTTATTATTATTATAGTCACATTAAAAATTGATAAACATGTCTTTTACAAAATACAAATTATTCTCAATGAAAAATTGCACAAACCGCAAAGGTTTCTTACCAAACCGTAATAAGTAAGAAAAAGAATTGATACAGGGGAAGAGTTTGGTCCAAGGAGACCACCTTCTAAACGCAAGAAAACACCAAGAGCGGACAGTATAATCAGAAATATCTGCCTGGAAAACAGAAAAAAAGCCACTAAGCTTATCCATGAAATTGTAATTGTTGTGTCAGACCGGACCATTTGTAGAAGGCTAAAAGAAGAGGGATTGATGTCCAGCCAAAAAAGTCAAAAATTGACAAAAAAATTTAAAAATATTAAAAATAATGTCAAAAATCTTATATTTATGCAAGATGGTGCAACTTGCCACACAATAAAAACTGTTATGGCTAAGTTGATGTATTGCTATAGCCAGACAACTCGCATCCCAGTGGGCACACGACGTTATTTCGACGTTGATTTACAGTTGATTTTTAGTCGCGACGTCGTATAACCAAAACTCAACGTTGCACAGTGGGCTAATTTTCAAAAAAGCTGGCCAAAAGTCAAAAAAAAAAAATCACTATTTTGAATTTATTATTTTGAAACTACATAAACAAAGCCCTGTTGCATTTTATTGTATAAGAAAAAATTGTATAAATTTTAAAGTTACCTATATCTACGCAGTTAAACATCTGTTATTAAAAACACTTAATTGGCGTTTTAAAAACAAACAAAAAAATGTGGTTAAATAAGTATCGTTTACAAAAAAGTTATTTATCGTTACTAAAAAACTAACTATGGACGATACTATTCAAGGTATTTATATAATATTTTAGTAAAAAGTTTTATATTATTTTTATAAATTTTATGCGAAAAGTGCGAACAAAAAAGTACAGAATAAAGTTTATTTATTTTCTATGACTTATTTTTCAAGCATTGAAAAAGTAGTGAACCCGCGAGATTCCGCCTAGTTATAATTTGGATGTTGTTCATAAAAGTGTATTCTAAAGATTGGTTAAAAGAAAAGGCACCTATTTTTGCCTATTACTTCATTAACTTATATTGTGTAGTGCTAGTCATGTTTTTTAGTAAACAAAATGGCGGTGTTTTGTTTTCATTAGAAAATCAGTCAAATTGTATATAGATATAGTTATTATGTTTCTTGAGAAACTGATTTTTTTAAGTGCAATAAAACTACAATAAAATTAGTAGCACACATGAATGAGATTTTGACAAAGTTAGAGTGTAATGGGGGGGGGAGGGGGACAAATCCCCTCGGTTACGACGTCTTTTTTACCTCAGCTACGACGATTTTTGTATAGTTTTATTGAATTTTACAAAATCAGTTTCTCAAAAAACATAATAACTATATCTATATACAATCATATGATTAACAGTATATTTTACCTTTCTCTTATGTATCGAATTTATATAATATAATATATTATCGATTACTTTTTATTTTATTTTTAATTAGTTTAGTAAAGTTATAATGTTTTTATGACTTTTTCAATTATTATATTTTCAATTATTATCTAAGGTTTACAAAAAGATCATTTGCAAATTCCTCGAATTGAAATTTTTGAAATTTTAAAAAACAAGTTATCTTCAGATCTAGATGACCAGCTTGATATTTTGCAATCACAGTTGTGTCTAAGAAGAAAAATTTGTTTCCAATTTTCAACAGATGATAAAAAGAAACTAAAAAATGTATTGACAAAACTAAAAATAAAATAGAAAAGTAGTAACCGAACAAAAAAAATATTTTTGAAGACACATGACACTTGGTTAAAAGCCTCAACAAATATTTGTGTAAGTTATTTAATGCTTATCTCTATTAAAGTTTTAAACTTTTTTATATTTACTAAACATTTAAATAATTTCAGATTGTTCAAGCACGAAACAAAGAGAAAAAAAGCCATAATGCAATGGGCCGACCACCTTTGAATTTTGATGAAGCAAGTGAGCGAACGAAACGGCGAAAAACGGAGGAAATGCGTTCGACATTTAGTTCATCCGAGTTAGCATTTGCTTCTCAGATGAGTCTTCGGGCTTCAGGAGCATGCAATGCCGGAGTTACAGTTAAAGATTTACCTTCCACCATTCAACACCGAGTCACAAATTATATAGATAGCCTTAAATTGTCCAAAATTTCACAAACATCTGAACTATGTGCTGAAACAGCTCTTTCCATACTAATGGAAGCAAAGCTTTCTAAACACCAATATTGCATTATAAGAAGTGCTGCAATTGCGAATAGCTCTTCTTTTTTACCATCTTACGAAAAACTTAAAGAAGCCAAGAAAATGTGTTACCCTGAAGATATAACGGTAACTGAAATAAGCGCCGAAGTAAAACTGCAATCTTTATTAAATCACACTTGTTTACGAATTATAAAAACTCAACAAGATGTAATTGACTCCTTGAATGTAAATATTTTATCAAATTTTATTTTAATTCTTAAGTGGGGCTTTGATGGCAGTTCCGGTCATAGCGAATATAAACAGAGATTTGCCGATGGAAAAAACTCAGATGCAAATGTTTTTCTGACTTCACTTGTACCATTAGAACTTTTGTGTACAAATTCAGTTTTAGGTCAAGATGTTATTCTATGGAAAAATAGGACACCCTCATCTACTCGATTTTGCCGACCTATCAGACTGCAATTTCTTCACGAAAATGTCCATACAAGCATTAATGAAAAAGACTATATTGAAGATAAAATTAAATCACTGGTTCCTCTCATCATTGTTCAACATAAAATAGAAATTAAAATACATTCTAAATTGGTTATGACAATGATTGACGGAAAAGTTTGCAATGCAATAACATTGCCGAAATCAACAATGCGGTGTTATTTGTGTTCTGCTACTTCGAGTCAATTCAGTAATATCAATCTCGTTAAAGAAATAAAAGTTGACGAATCAAAATTGGAATACGGTTTATCAACGTTGCACGCATGGATTCGCTTTTTTGAATGTTTTTTGCATCTTGGGTATAAACTTGGAATAAAAAAATGGCAAGCACGTTCTGACATGGAAAAAAGTATAATATTACAACACAAGTTGTTAATCCAGAATGCTTTTAAGCTGCAGCTAGGGTTAATAGTTGATCGACCGAAACCAGGATGCGGTAATACAAATGACGGAAATACAGCTCGAAGATTTTTTAAAAACTCACAAGTGTCTGCTGATATTCTAGGAGTGGATTTAGAACTAATAAATCGGTTTCATGTAATTTTACAGGTATTATCTAGTGGCTTTTCTATAGACGCAGACAAACTTGATAACTATTCTACCAAAACTGCACTACTTTTTGTTGAAAAGTATCCTTGGTACAAAATGCCTACAACAGTACACAAAGTACTTATTCATGGAGCCTTAATAACAAAAACAGCAATACTACCCATAGGACAACTATCTGAGGATGCTCAAGGAATCGAGAAACAAAGACTTGAAAAAATATCGCGAAGATTTCTCTAGGAAAAATTCCAGAAAAAATACAATGCATGACGTTTTTTGCAGACTTCTGGTTTCGTCAGATCCTGCAATATCTTCACTTTTAAAATCTCATGCAAAAGTTAGCAGATCTTTGTCTTCTCAAGCTTTACAAATGTTATTACCTCCGGAGATTAACAAAAACTCTGAAACTCATTCGTCTGTGATTGAGTTTTTCAACAATATTTCAATAATAAATGATTCAGATGACAGTGGTGATTTATTTTAAAGTAATATAAATGAGACAATTATGATAAATGATGCAAATAAAAGTTTTCCTTGTTTTCCTTGAACAAATAAATAAGTAGAATAAATAATGAATTTTTCAATTTATTCTTCTTAACATTGCGGCATAATAATACGGTCATAATACATTATATATCGGTATTATATATGTTTATATATGTAATGTAAATAATACATTAGTCTATTGAACTTAAATGTTAAATTAGAACTAATTGGTTAAACACGAAGGCCCAAAGGCATTTCTAATGATTAATGTTTTTAAAATACCGCCATTTTGGATCTGCCATTATTGAATTTTGGTACACTTATGTAAAATTCAAAGTCGGGGTTTCAAAAAAATGCTATACAGAAATTTTCAATCAATTATAATCATTTTTTGACTTTTGGCCAGGTTTTTTGAAATTCCGCCCACTGTGCGTTGTATCAACGTTGAAAAATTTGTTTAAAACTATCAAATAAAATCGACGTTGATTCCACGTTAGTTCAACGTCTATATTACGAGTTCGATCGTTCGTAATTGCAATATGACGCATGCGTGACTTAAAATTTTTTTATCAACATAACAAATAACAAGTAAAGACTCAACAAGTTACTTATTAGCCCAATAAAAACAAGTAAAGTCACGCATGCTAATAAATTAGGTCATCTGTTGCCTTTTTATAAGGTTCTGAAGTTGACAATTTAACAATAATACATGGCTTAACTTGTGATGCAGTTAGTTAGGTAAATATTAAATGGATATTTCTTTATGACCGTATTATTTCATGAGTGTGGATTACAAGTAGAGTGATATACTACTTGATATATTATATAAGTATAAAATATATATTATATATGTTTTTCTTATTTATATAATGTATATATATATATATATATATATATATATATATATATATATATATAAATATATATATATATATATATATATATATATATATATATATATATATATATATATATATATATATATATATATATATATATATATATATATATATATAGTATATATAATTATATTATGTATGTATATATACATATATAGTGTATGTATATATTATATATGCATTTATATATACATATATATATATATATATATATATATATATATATATATATATATATATATATATATATATATATATATATATAGTATATATAATTATATTATGTATGTATATATACATATATAGTGTATGTATATATTATATAAGCATATTATATATATGTATATATATATATATATGTATATATATATATATATATATATATATATATATATATAATACATATATATAATATACATATATAATATATACATACACTATATATGTATATATACATACATAATATATATATATATAATGGATGATGTTTTACAAAATAATGATTTATCAAGCTTTTTTACCAATCCATGTGATTTAAAGAGTTTGAATATTTTCTATATTAAAAAATTTTTATTAAATTTTTAAAGATTTTTCTTGTAAAGTTGTATAAAAAAGAATTTGTGCATGCTCCTTTAGTCCATGATATTGGTTGGTAGAAGGATCAACATAAAAATTTAGCAAATTTTAGCAACTGTATAATGTATCATAACGTGCAGTTTAAAGTTGTATTTTTCTGTTAGCTATTTTACATGAACAAATTTTTAATATATAAGTATTTTTTCTATTATATTTTCTACTATACTTTTCAAGTTGAAAAAGAATTGTAGGGCATGCAAAATGTTCATTCGAGCTGTTTGGATAGAAAATACAGAGAAATAAAGAGAGAAAACTCGATTGATAATTTTTTGTGCTGGCCATCATTAAATGTAATAAATTGTTTCAATGAAATGCATAAACCGCATCTAACTAATACAGATTTACGCTGCTCAAAATTAAATGTCATAGAGATAATGTAATTTTTTTAAATATAAACCTTAAGTCATTACTTTTTTTCCTTGTTTTTTTTTAACATGCTTTCATTCTGCATATGTTGTTTTCAGTGTTTAGATATATTCTTTATTATATATTCTTTATTATAAAATGTTTTTAAAACATTTTTAAATTGAATGAATATTCTTAGATCATGAGTTATGTAATAAATTTGAATTTGCCTCTACTAGTGATACTCAGATAGAATCAGGTTCAGAAAACGGTAACTATTTCAAAAGATACTTTATTCAAGTATTATTTGTTATATTTTGATATTAGTCTGTCTGCAAGTTGATTTAGGAAGAAAAGATTCTGAACATTTTTTTCTATGCTTCAGTGATTTACACATTTGTTTGGTTGCTAAATTAATACATTTTATTTAATTTATGAATAATGTTTTATTTTATAAATGTTTTGTTCTTGTGTTTCAACGCTTTTAAAAATTAATTAATGTTTGGTTCTTTTGTCTTTCTGATATATCTTTATTGTTAGAAAGAGATGTTAGTAAAAACTTTTTCCAGTAATTAAAGTAATATCATGACAAATAGTTCTAAAATTCTATGGATGAACTTGCAGCAGTAATTTAATGATTATGATAACAGTTTAAATGATTCTTGGTTGAGGTCAGAAGTGATGGGTTGTTTCAAACCATGACTTTTTGCAGTTTTTTTTTATTGTTTTTTGATTAAGTATTTAATAATAACTTAGCCTAAGTTAATCTACTTGTAACTTTTTATAAATGTACTTTAAAATTAATGTGGTGTAATTATTTTCTTAAACCTTTAGGTTAACAAACTTTCTAAAATTAGAGGTAAAAGCATTAAGACAAATACAAATAAATGTGATGCAAAGGTTTGTTAAAAGTAGTTTTAAGTAAAAAATCTTTTAAATCTTTTTATTATAGTTTGTTTTAAACTTGTGTTAAAAATCTGTGTAGTTTATATTTTTAAAAGTTTGACGAATTCTAATCAGACATCAAATTTTTTTTTTTTTTATGTCTGATTATAATTTTTTTTGTAACTGTTTTCTCTTACTTTTGTATTTCCTTGAGCTAAAGAATAACCTTAAAGTACAAAGGTTGATTTGTAACGCATACTTAACCTGTTTTTTTACTCTATATATACATGCATATTTATGTACATAAATAAACATACATATATATGTATGTATATATACATACATATGCATATATATATATATATATATATATATATATATATATATATATATATATATATATATCAGGCCTTGTTACGAGATTTCGCTGCGTAACGGAAAAGCTGAACGTGAATAAATGTAACTTTACTCAATTAAGATATTTACATTGTTAAAAGTTAATTTACGTCAGTTGCGTTTTTACTTCATTGTAATTAAATTTAAAATGACATTAAAAACTATTGTTAGTCTTTGAAACTTTTAAATTTAAATTGTAGAATGTTGTTATAAAAAAAAAAATTTCAATGTTGGTTAAAAAAAAGTCTTCTTGTATTAAAATCTTATACTTATTTAAACTTAATTTTTTTGCTTTTAAACATTCGTTTTATGGTTGTTTTTTTTTTTTTTTTTTTTTTTTTAAATAATTTAAATTTAACACTTGTTTATGGTTGATTTTCTTAAAGGGATTTAAATGTACTTATAACTAAACGCATAGATTGGGTTTTCCCTTTTAAAAAAAAACGTTTGTTTTGATAAAATAAATGTTTGTAAAGAAACGAAATTTACTGCTTTTTCGGCTTTGTTTTTTTTTTTATTTCGATTAAACTATTTTATTTTTATGTACAGTGAAACCTAATATTTTTTTTCTCAATCCGAAAAAAAAATAGTGTTTTCGGTTTTCAGATGTTATAAGCAGAATTTGTTTTTAACAAATATCATTATAATTTTGAAATTTATGTATCTTATATTTATAGCTCAAGTACTAGTTTTGTTTTTAAAATAAAATAAAGATAAGTTGGGTTTTTAAAGAGTTTATTTACTGATCACGTTATTTTTAATAGGTTTGTATTTTAGTTTGTTCAAGGACGTATTGTTAATACGTCCTTGGTTTGTTTTAAAAAAAATTCTTTGGCAAACGGCAAAGGGAAAACCCAAACATAACATTTATAACTCGAGTTTAAAAGTATTGACGTCATTTATTAACATGTAGTTATAAAATTAATAATGCGCTTCTGTAAATAATGAATGATACAGTAAAATAATGGAAAAATAAAAACTGGAAAATAATGCACTTTTGTAAGCGCATCTTTCAGACCAGTATTTGGAACTTACCTGAAACTTAACTAAAATTAAAATAAAGTTATATACGAACATTTTAAAGTAACTTGAATTAAATTTATCAAATCTTTTTTTACTTTGGTAATTTTATAAAAAAAACGGAGCATTTTAAAATTAAAAAAATTTTAAAATGCTCTGTTTTAAAATTAAATGAAAGAATTTTAATTAAATTTAATAAATTTATTTACTAAAAACTATAATTATTAAAAAAATAGTTAAATTTAATAAAATAAATTGAAAATTATTCTTTTTTTAAATTTGATTGTTTATAAACTTATGAAATCTAATATTTAAAATTAAATATGATGAAAAGTTTAATTTATTTTCTTTGAGTAATTTTTAAAAACAAAAAAAAAAATTATTAAACAAATTGTTTCTTTAACAAAAAATCTATTAGTTTACAATTGCGGTTAAATGCTTTTACTTACGACTTTAATACTTCTGAATGAACGTCACATAAACGATATAAAAAGATAATTTAAATATTCTTAAAGATAAAGTTTTTGCGTAACGCATAACTGCTGAACGCGTAGGCAAATCGCCTTTTCGCAGGCAAAATGCAAGCTGCGTAACGCTTCTTAACAAGGCCTGATATATATATATATATATATATATATATATATATATATATATATATATATATATATACATACATATGCATATATATATATATATATATATATATATATATATATATATATATATATATATATATATATATATATATATATATATATATATATATATATATATATGTATATATATATATATATATATATATATATATATATATATATATATATATATATATATATATATATATACATATATATACATATATATATACATATATAT